ACTATCTAGATATTTCTCCTGGTCTTCAGAGACCTCTCTGTTTGTTTCTTTAGTGTTCTGTCTTTCTTCATGTAACTTCCCTGCTGAGTTCCCTCCATGATGCTCGCAAGTTTCTCCAGCTTTTGAAACTGGTCTTGTGAAGGCAACAGTAGTCTGAAGCCAAAACCATTTTTGAATATTCTATATTGATATATTCAAGTGATATATTTGAGTAGGTTTTGAGAAAACACCCTATTTTAGAGTAAGTGCAGTGGACTGAATTCTGAAAGTCACTGGTACAATTCAGAGCTGTTGTTTAGAATAAGGCCCCCAGCTTTATCCCAAATTCTCTTGCATGATTCCAGGAAATAAATGTCAGGAGTTAATGAGAGAATGTGAGAATGCATGTGCTGAGTTAGTCATTGACATCTTTAAAAATAACATTGTTAGTCTCAGGCTCATAACAGTTTCTCCAATGTGATCTCCACACCTAAGCTTTTTTAGGTGGTTTTTTTTCTGTATTTTTCCTGGAAATTACTTTATAGGCAATTATCAGAGCCTGTTTTGAAGAGAGGAGTCATTCAGTATTAYAGCTCATTATTTTAGAAACAGCTGGAGTGAGAGGAGTAATGACTATGCCCAGTGAGCAAGTAGCACTTTGAGGTATGGAAARGAGAACTTTGAGGTTTGGAGGCCAGAGCAGAGGTGGGAGCAATGAGAAGGGACTGTCCAAAGACCACCAGGAGCACCATCAGTCTGGCTCAGGCCACCAATATTAAACAAAGAACCCCTCTCCATCCTGAGCACTGAGAGAAAAAAAGAGACAGAAAAGACTGCTGTCACAGTCTGTACCTGCCTGACTGATGTATCACTGCTTCAGGAGCTCTCACTGGTGCCCAGATGTAACATAACCTTTGTTARCTGGATCCAGGAACAGCAGTTGTGCTTGTCATGAAAAGAAAAATGTCTAAAATCTGTTTAATTTGTGTYGGATGGGACAGGGCCTTCAGTGGGGAAGCTGCTGTCCCTTAAAAGCAGAGCAGGGTCTCTAAGTTTGCAGGTTGTTTAAGAGGAAGCTGAAAGCTGCAACCCTCTGAGCTGTGGGATTTTGAACTTTGCCAGTCCTGGACCATCAGATGAGATGGGGAGGATCCAACAGAATTTAAATGGCAGCAACTTGAGCAGCGGGGAGGGAGAAAGGGCAAAAATTACTCTGGAGTTTGTATTTGGAGGGTAAGGAAAGCATTTTCCTGGAGAGTCTTCTTCTGTCGGTTATCAGGGATTCACATAAAGCACTGTGCTTCTGGAAAACCATCTGGAAATTGAGGAAAAACTCTCTTTCAATTCCTTAAGGCACAACCAATGAAGGGATTTTTCTCAGATCCCAACTATAACAACTCAATTCCACTTCCTGCTCATAATTATTTAGTCATTTTGCTGTTAGACATTATTCATTCACTTTTYCAGTCTCATTTGCTGCCTTGATCTGACGATCATTTTGTGCCATCCTGCGTGAGTCAAGTATGTGAGAGTCATCACTGAAATGTTTGCATAATTCTGCATTTGCTTTCTGGTGCTTGYAATAAAGCCCATAAAGAAGACTGGTTTGTTCTTCCAATTTAGAATATGAGGCCCCACACCCCAGAGGCCAGGCATTTAATCTAGGCTATTTGARAGCCATTTGGCTTTGAATTCATGTTTCTACATTTGCCATGACAAGTATTTTTTGCTAAAGTTATCACATGCTTTGACTGAGAAATAAACTATCTCTGGAATAAGAGCTAGCTGAAGTCAGGGTTTTCAATAAAAGCAGAAAAGCATTCAGKAGAAGATGGAAGCTAGGAAAGGGAYACTTATTTGCAAAGCTGCTTTTCCCATTTACATTTCATATGAAACATGGTAAAGGGATTAGAGCTGAAAATTTTTTCTCTGGTACTGTGAATCCCATTTTTGGGATTTTATATGGTTCTTGTTTGCRCTGGAATTTCTTCCTTTGTGTCCCAGGGACAAAGGCAATTTTGGTCATTTGTCTGAGATTCTGGAATCATAGGCATGATCAGTTTGCCTGGCACCCACCTGTCAAGGCTGCATCTTCTTCCTCATGCACATGTATAAGGCCAAAGGCAAAACTAAGATCTTTGAAAGTTTTTTTGGTTTTTTTTTTTTTGTAATCAAAGTGTGCTGTGCTCCACAGCAGTCTGGTATGTGGGGCTGTGTCTTTGGGTATTGCTGTGTTTAAATACTGCCCTGCAAATTTTCACATCCCCAGATGAACCCTTTAACCCCTACATTTTCTACCCAATGTCAAGTGAAAAATTTTAAAAATGTGGAAGACCTCTAAGGTAGAGAAGGACTAATTCATTAAGTGGTTTTTTTTAAGGATGTTGGAGGCAGAAGCTCATCTTTGGGAATTGGAGCAGGGCAGAATTYGCACATGTATTTCCCACAGCCTAGAAGAAACAAGTACAGAAATCTCATTAATTCTCTTTCCTTTTTACTTTACCATAGTTTTCTCAACCTAATAAAATTTCACTGACTGAAATTTTCTGAAGGAAAACCCAGCAAACTACCATTTTAACATCCTAGAGCTAAAAAATTTCTGTTAGGAGTAACAGCAATTGCAAATCTTYTATCATGCCATCATCTCCCTGACCTTATTTCTCTCTTTTTCCTTTCACAGGTCTACTCTGTCGAGGTGTTGCAATGCCCCATCCTTTCTGTTCACCACCCAGAAAAATACTCCCTTGGGAACTAAACTGAAATATGAAGTGGACACCAGTGGAATTTTCCATATCAACCAAGAAATCTTCAAAATGTTTCCGAAGGTGCCTCTTCCCATTTGCAGGATCAGCTTCACTGTACTTGCTGCATTAGGAACTACCCCATAGCCAAGCATTTAGCACTCGTCTGACATTTCTACAAATTTCATTGCTTATATTTTGAAAATGTTTAGTTTTGGTACAATGTTTTAGATGATTATCCTGTTTTCTAGTGGTCATCTGCAATATATATAAATATATATATATATATATATATACACTTATATACATACACGTATACATGTAATTTTCTGCAGGAAAGGAGCACAGTGGTTAATGAAATAATTTAAGAAAGCTAAATAAAAGAGACACTGATCAGAACTCTTTTAAAGTATAATATTCACATATAATATTCACAAATCCAACATTTGAGGGTAGGTCTGCTTTTCTTTTTGGCATGATTATTTTGTAATTCATATTCACAATGACTATTTTCGTACTTATTTCTCTATGCAGATTATCTGTGAAGGGGCTTCACTATTTTTAAATATATTCATCCTAATGATTATTCAAAACCTTTCCAGCAAATAATGCTTGACCTCCAAGGCCATCCAAGGTTGTAATCAGTGAGCAATTCCCTCTGCACATGGTAACTGATGTGCAGAAATGGGCTGATGTGGCTGCAGATTCATCACGGGGCACAGCCCATCAATTTACAGCGGCACATTTGGAGGGGGTAGCTGAAATTTCAAAGAAAAATTTGAGATTATTTGAAAAGTCAGACATGTATTCAGGTTCAGTACTTAGATTTGGGCCACTGAACCTGTCCTTGAGGGTCCAACCACTTCTAATCCTTTGGCTTTCCGARCACTGCCAAGAGGTAGGGAAGTGCTGTTATCTAAATGTGCACATGGGGAGCGGGGGCAGAAGCAGGGGAAAGGCTGAGATCCAGGAAAGCACTTTGGCATCTGGAGATGTGCAAAGAGTGGAGTGTTATCCTCAAAACCCTGCCTGATTAGGCAGATGAGTGCACAAAAGCCTGAGCTCTGCTAGGAGCGTGCTAGGGCTGCTGTGGTGTTGGTCCAGGTATGATCAGGATGCTGTGGAGGCATTTTCACATGCCAAAATGCCTTTGGGAGTCACTGGGCAGTGGCCAAAGCCACCCTCTGCATAGGAAAAGGCTGCAGCCTGGAAAATGCAGGAAAAAAGAGGGCTGAAAGCACAGCAACAATGCTGTAGTGGCAAGAGCCTTGTGCCAAGCACGGACACGTGGCTTCTGATTTCCCTCCCAGCTCTGCCGAGGCACTTTGCGTTAAGAAATCACTGCATAAAGCACAGACAGCTCCATATTTCCTCTCTGTCAGACAGCTGCTGCTTTTCTCAGACAGGTGTAATTGCATGCYCTTTTTGCCTCATGGCTTATGGATGCTGTGGAAAGATCCTGGGAATAATCACCCAGAAAYGTCAAGCCACTACTGCATCCCTCTGTAGTTTGCGGCATGGGATTATTGATAAAATATGTATGTGCCAAAACGAGCACTCTCATGCTTATATAAGCACATCCCTCCATATTCATAAGGTGTARCGTGGCTCAGTTCTGCGTCACAGCCCTCTCACCCTAACAGCCCAGTTTGTTCTCGAGATGTGATTTTTTCACTCTCCCTGGCTCCAGCAGCAGCTGCATGTCTGTGTGTGAAGGCAGGATTCTGCCCAAAAATTGCGTCCTCCTCGAGTCCAAAAAAGTGCCTGGGCAATGCTGTCAATGCAAGTGTTAATTAATAATCATTGTTACTATTAGTACAATTGGTGTGGGTAAACGCTAAAATTTGGGCTACTTTCTGTAGTGTGCTGTCTGACAGACTTCTGGGGCTTTGCTGGCAGCTCTGTGACTCTGTGTGCAGACTTTCCAAAAGCAGGACACCGGAGCCTGAGGAGCGAGCAGTTTGCAGGCAGCTCAGAAAACAGTGCCTGGGCTACGCTAATTCATGTTTTGTGCCCTCATGTGGAAATCAAAGGGGAAAGCAAGTGTCTAAAATTACTCCCTACCTGATTGAACCTAGGGAAAAAAAACAGGTTCTTGTTGGTTTTTTTTCCCTGTATGGTTTTGTTGCTTGGGCCATCTYCAATTGCACMGCAAACAATCCCATCACTTTCATGTACAGGGAATATTGCACCCCAGAACCAGTATCAACATCCTGTGATTAATGCATCAAGGTACAGCTGCATAGGAAGAAAGGAAAAATRAAAAAAGGAGACTTGTTGGCTCCATATTTTGGGGTCTGTAACTGTTTCCATGCCATGCTGTTGCAGGATATGCCGTACCATCGCTCCCAGTTTAAGAGATGTGCAGTGGTTGGGAAYGGAGGAATCCTGAAGAACAGCAGATGTGGCCGGGAGATTGACAGTGCAGACTTCGTGTTTCGGTAACCACCACAGCTCATTTTTCTCTTTTTGCCTTTTCTGATGACAAACAGTATTGCAAAGCTATTCTCTCTCACACAGGAACATGGGATTCACTAAATTGGCTGTGTCAAGCCTGCTTCTTGCACAAAAAAAAAGTTAAAAAAAAACCTACCCCAAAACATCTTATGTTATAATATTTATTTTAAAATTACACTTTGAGGAAATATTTCTCCACAGCTCCGTGGGGTTAATTACTGTCTTGTTGGCAAAGTGTGATGSTCTCTTTCTGCAGGACATTCCCTGCCACTCAGGTTGTGGATTTATCCTTTTGTGGACATTAGCCTACAAGCAGTGTCCTATGAACCTGGCCGTGATTTTCTGGGGCAGATCTGAGCCAGAGGTGCAACCTGTATGGAGTGACAAGCAGCTTGGTCAGATGTTAATAGCTCACAGCTCATGTGCCTCAGAGGTGTGTTTCTGGGMTGGTGCAGAGCTCCRYTGCTCAATAACTTTCAGAAATCAAYAATCAATAATYCAGGGSCWCCAGGMTCACCAGAGTAACTTTGAAGGTGTGGTTTCTCCCTTGCTCCTCACTTTTTGTGGAATTATCCAGGTTTTACATGAACTGGGATGTCCCAYGACGAGTGTCCCTGGATAACAGAGTCTAGCAGCAGTTCTATAATCCTTAATATATATATGAGACAGATTTTTTTATTATTCATATGCATGACTAATCCCTCTTTAAATCCTGTTAAGCTCTTTGCCTGGGTCATGGCATATGACCGCTAGCTCACAGACTCATGACCTCTTCTCTAGTAAAGAAAAATCTCTTTATTTCAGTTGGCCTATTTTCTGATCTTGGGTATGTTGTTGTCAGTTTAGGATAAATGAGCATARAACAATTAATTTTTCTGACTTCATAGTACCAAAAATTAGATCAGATTGTGGTTCACTGCTGTCTTCATTTTGAATTGATATCATGTGAGAAAATTTTGCAGGTTCTACTTTCTGTATTCATATTCATTGTTTTCAGACTCGTGTCTGCCTTTTATTCCACCTTGATAGAAATCTATTGGCTTAGCTTTCAGTGAAAAAAAAGGAGTTGGTGAAAGAGCCCAGACTTCACATAATTTGCACCTTAAAAGCTTAATGTACCCCATATACCTTAAATAATTACTGCAGATTCCCTGCTGCTGTGTTGGATCACAGCTATCAGCATGGATGAAAGGAGCACATGACACATGGAGATGGCAAGTTTTTAAGCAGAAGCTCAAATATGGCTGAAAAATCTCATCTATGTTTAAGGACTTTTAGTCGAGGTCCCATTTTATCACCATTATTCTTCCTTGAACTGCACCAGATTTAAGAAAAAGAACAGATTATTACTGAACTCAGAAATTTGGTTGTGCTTGGTATCAGTAAAAATTAAATAGAGGTTTAGGCAGAATTGGAATATGAATAAATWCATCAGTACTTGTGCCAAAGAAACCCTGGTTCACCATCTCCAAATTGTGGATTATGCACAAACATGTGCCAGTGTTTTAAAACTCAAGGTCTGCTGAGATCAATTTTAAAGTGAAGCTTGTGTTTAAGGTCARCACATCTGCTTTCCAGTCACCACTCCACCAAACTATCAGGAATCATAATCTTGGTCACCAGTGAAATAATTTAAAATATTTCACAAGCTGCCTATGGAGCCCTGATTACATTCAGCAATACCTTCAGGACACTTGGGAAAATCTTTTGTGGCCAGCAGGATGCAAACCAGGATTGTTCTGTGAACTGAGTTCCAGAAGTAATTAATGATAGTACAATGGAATATATAAAATACACACAAGAATTGCATTTATTAGGAGTTATTGTCTGTCTCCATCTGCTGGCCACAGCAGAGTTCTGTGATTAAACACAGAATTTAGAGGTGGGACTGCTCTCTTGGCAGGGATTCGTTTTTTGGAGTGTCATCACACTCCAAAAAAAAGGACAGTTTGTGCAGATTGGATCATTTTCATAAGGCTCTCTCACCTTCAACAAATTCAGTCACTCTTAATCCTGGTGGGAATTTCCTGTTCAGAAATATTGAAGCTGTTTTTTTTTGAAAATCTTCAAATGTATTCTGAGAAACAGAGTGCCCAGTACCAGGTGGAACTGGGGGTGCCCGAGGACTTGAGTTGCATGACCCAGCAGAGCAAAGTGCTAGAAATGACATTATCTGTGAGAGGGATAGCTGAAAACAATCCTGTGACCTCASAAAGAGGGACTCTCTGCAAGGTGGRTGTGAGCTTCTTGAGCCTGAGAGGAACTTTGAAGGGTTTTTGCTCATTCTTCAGCTCCCCAAATTGCCCTCTGTCTTTACCTGAGAAATTACCCCAACAGCTGAACTGTGGTGTTGTSAAAACACTAAGCATCTCCTACCCTAAATACTGTCACAGTTTCCTCCCTGATTTTGCTCAGCCCTATTCTTCAGAAATATGGAGAACTTTGGGAATTAGGCACAGCAGTATTTTTGAGATATGTGGCTCTTAACATTGAGATATGTGATGGATTTTACTAAAGCTTGTAAAACATTCTAGAAATCTTTCAAAATATTAATAAGTGCCTAACTCTAGTTTAAACAGAGTGTAAAACCAGATTCCAGGCCTCATGTATTGCCCCTGAAAACACTTCCTGAAGGTTTTTTTTTTCAGCTGGGCTTCCTTTGGTAGCAAAGCCACCGAGGTAACTTGTGAGTGTGTGTTTCAGTAACTTCAGCATCTCTTGAGRGATGCTCTAAATTTTGTGAGATGATGTATCTAGGACAAGGCCAAGGTGAGTGGAGGCTGGGCAAAGTCAAGGCTTGCAAACCTCACAAGTTTTGATGTCCTGTGGTGAACCTGTAGAGTCAGATTTTCTGCTATTACATTGTGCTGGGAGATGCTTATAAATGGAAAAGGAAGGGAAGCAGATAGTTTTGGATTAATTAGGTCTGGATTGATTTGTCTCYTGTGGAACATTTCCCTTAAATTCTYCTGGGAATAAACCAAAGCATCTTAAGAGCAATGTTATAGATATAGTTTATTAATTATTGAATACATCTCAGCCACTGCTGAGCAAGCCTTTGATTTYATAGTCTGATTGGCCTTGGGTCTTCATCCTATTTCTCATCCCAAACTGCCAGAGAAAATAGGTAAATTGCTGTTAAAGAAGCAAAATGAGCACTAACTACMCCTGCAAAGTGGGGTCAACTCTCACAGGTGAGGGAACAAGAGGGGTCTTCAGACAGCCCTAAAGAACTTATTAGATTATTGCACAGTTTGGGCACCCWCATGTTTTSAGACAATTTTAAATTCTCAGCCTGYTTCTAGATTGGTTGCTTGGCAGAAATGCTTAAATAGTTCTATTTTTTCTAGTCCTTAAACAGTGCAAGGCATTTTTTAACTTCCTTATAAATTTCTTTCCTTTGTAGGTGCAATTTGCCTCCTATATCTGAGAAATACTTCATGGACGTTGGGGTGAAGACTGATGTTGTGACTGTCAATCCCAGTATAATCACGGAGAGGTTATTTATGTGGTTTTTTTGTATYTCCACTTCTCTTGATTTCCCAAATCTACCTTTCCCTTAATTCTGTTACACAGATTTTTTTCCCCAAATCGTGCTTTAAACCATCGCTATGAACCATACCTTTCATTCTAAATTGAAGTTWTTCAATATACAAAATAGGTAGCAAGTTACAATTTAATTGTAACCTGCACTTTGATGATGGAAAATGGGAAGGTAATGAGCTAAAATTAAAACAAAAGAACCATCCTTCCCCTAAAAGTCTCATGCTGTGCTTACAATCCCCAGGCAAATGTCTTAGAAATATTCAGGGTGGAAGCAACTAAATGCTGAAGCCATAGGATCAGAGTCATTAAGGTCATTAAGGAAAATTAAGATTATCAAGTAAATAAAGTAACACACAGCCCACAAGTTTTAAAAAAGAATCAGTTAAACTTTGTAGCCAGGCTGGATGATTTTAATTTAAATTTGTTAATACCCTAATGCCACCTKGTGACATGTTTGGACCATGAGGCTCGTTATTTTTTGTTTCTTGTTGGGGGAATGTGTTTCTTTCCACAAGCAACATAAAATAATTTGTTTAATTTTGGATTTCTTTTAAATGCTATGGTTGTGCATTTTAAATTCTTGCTAGCTTTAGTGTTTGCCGCTTTTTTATACAGCTCTTCACTGCATAGTGCACTACATAGTTTGGAAAAACTAGATTAATTACTAGCATGTTCTTACTAGAACATACTTCTAACAATGCAAGGAGAAGCGAGACATGATCAGAAATATCTGCAAGGTTTGTCCTTTCAGCTTTTGATGAAATTGTGCATTTTTTATACCCTAAATTTTTACCCTAYATCCCCYAAATTTTTACMCTACATCCCCTAAATTTTTACCCTACATCCCCTAAATTTTTACCCTACATCCCCTAAATTTTTACGCTACATCCCCTAAATTTTTACCCTACATCCCCTAAATTTTTACCCTACTGATGCTGTAGCTACAAAYKKCTGCACAATTCCCYTTGATAACTGAAGCATCAATTGCCTCTGAGTTTGAAACGTCTCTGGGGTTTGCTTGGGGGTTTTGGGGGGGTTTCTTGGGGGTTTCTTGGGGGTTTCTTTCTGTGCCCAGGCTGACCCTGCCTCGCTCCCTCTCCCCCTCAGATTCCACAAGCTGGAGAAGTGGCGCAAGCCCTTCTACGACGTTCTGCAGGTGTACGAGAACGCGTCCGTGCTGCTGCCGGCCTTCTACAACACGCGCAACACGGACGTGTCCATCCGGGTCAAGTACGTGCTGGACGATTTCGAGTCTCAGCAGGCAGTTTATTATTTCCACCCCCAGTATCTCATCAACGTCTCGCGCTACTGGCTCGGCCAGGGCGTGCGGGCCAAGCGGGTCAGCACCGGGCTGATCCTGGTGACTGCGGCCATGGAGCTGTGCGAGGAGGTGCACCTCTTCGGCTTCTGGGCCTTCCCCATGAACCCCTCAGGGATTTTTATAACTCACCACTACTACGACAACGTCAAGCCTCGCCCCGGTTTCCACGCCATGCCCTCGGAAATATTCAATTTCCTCCACATGCACAGCAAGGGGATCCTGCGGGTTCACACGGGGACCTGCAGCTGACAGGGACACTGTGACAGCGTGGTGGGAGCTCGATGGCTTGTGTAAGGTGTGGGAGGTTTTATTACACCCCGAGATTATGCAATAAATTGTTTGATATGAATTTCCTCAAGGCATTGCATCCCATCAGATCTAGGATACCAGCATCTTTCCTGCTAGCAGAATTGGGTCCATTAAATTGTAGGAGAACCAAAACTCCTGTGCCCCAGGGTGYGCGCTGTCCTGGAAAGCAAATCAGATAAGAAGCACATTTACAATAGATTTAGGGATAAATAGAGCACATTAATATATTTATCATTTCAGAATGAAGAAAAGCACCAAACTTTTGAGGAAAAACAGTGGTGGAGAATTTTAGCATAGACTGTATGACTTTACATAGGTTTCTGAATCGAGTACCTTGGGGTATTGCCAGATTTTATTGAACTCTCTGTTCTCTGGCCTTTAGGTTTTTGAAAATACTCTTTAGCGTTATAGCATTAATGGGGATATATAACTTAAGATCTTTGTTCTGTAACGTCACAAARTGTCGATCAAAAATAGCAGATAGATGTGTTAGGAATAAACAAAATCACTTTACAAATTTTTTCAGCCAGGATAGAACAGAATGTCGAACTCCCATTCACAGCAACAGGTAACTGTGTGAATCATGTTGTGACATTGTTTTAGAGATTCATTCTTCTCCATTCTTGTGTCTTGCATTTCTRTTCTCCTCTGCTGGTTGTGCTTCCTTTCTCCTTGTGTGTGTTGCTTTCCTTCTGGCTAACACATGAGCAATATCTGCACTTCCTCCTCCAGCACCATCTCATCATCACACTGGAATCCTTGCTGAAGAGATACGCTCCTTCACAAGGTTAAAAAGAAGAGCAAGGGGATTACGTAGTTGTATTTTACAAGTTCTTTTTTTTGGTTCAGTGTAGTAGAGAAAAAAATATCTCGTTGATTTTTATTAATGTCTTTGTAAAGGTATCTGAATGTTGATTCTCTGTTGTGCAGACTGAGTTAGCACATTCAGGTATCTGTAATAAGTTAATGTCAGGAAATGTCGTTAAAATGCAGAAAAGCTATTTTGTGGCTTAGATTATGCTGCTTATTTTGAAATTACGCATCTTGAGATGTCAAATGTCTCAATGTGGTGTTTTTGTATATTGAGAATGTTATTGGGATTGTAAAAGGRCTGGTGATGTATTCTTTAAATGTCATCAGTGTAGCTCTGTCAGGTATGCCAAGCCTAATTTTTCACCTGGCAAAATCCTGAAGCAGAAAAGACGCCACAAGTTGCTGAAGTTTATTTTGTTGTAGGCTGCTGGTATGTGCCCTTTCATTCTGCTTTGACTGCATACCCAAGAGGTGAGATTTGCTGCTTCAGCTGTGCTGGCATAGTTAAATGAACAGAGTTTTTCTGTCTAAGTCTGAAGCAYTTGGGCTGTTGCGTTGTCTTGTGTTATGTAGATTACAAGATCTTTGATCAACAGTTTGAAGTTTTAAGTTCTATATGAGGATTTTTTTTTTTTTTTTTCAGAAGAGGGCAGGGGATTTAAATCCAAATCTGGACTTGGATTTTGATTTTCTAATGCATGAATGCACAAAGCTTCTTTTAAAAGCCTCTGTGCTATGCTGAAAGCTGTGCAACTTGCTCACACTACAGATAAAATGATCACAAATGAAGTGAAGCACGATGGTCACMATTTCAAAAGTCTCTTCTGGTCAGCAGTGACCTGGATTGTGTGTGAGGATGTATTTACTTTACACGAGACTCCTGAGCTCTAGTTGCCTTAGAAATAACAGAGATTCTCGAAAAAGGCATCAGAACTCACCTGGGGAACACTGGCCAGGGCGGGTGAAGGACCAGTGTTTGAGATTAATATCTTACTTGTGGTGTTGTGTTTTAGATCTTAGAGTTACACTGCGTGTTCTTGAGCACCCCCTCGTATCGTCTACCTGTGAAATAGGCAGCACACTCATGAACCTGTCGGTGAAGCGGTTTCCTTGACTCAATATGCAAAAGAGGTGTTTGTCTGTGCTGTGTTCTGTAATTTGTGTGCAAAGGGCTTTGACAATGAAGTGCTGTGATGAAAATGCTATTTAGAGAGCAATGTGACACTGCAGGTTGGCCGTCTCGCTGTGCATTAAGCTTTATGATAACAGTGATGAGGCTGAAGCTGCTGCTTGGAGCCCTTACTCCTTTTTCTGCCTGAGTTTGGGACCGGTAGCGACTTCAGGTTTGCTTTGCTGCTGCTGCTCTGCTAAGGTTACCTTCTTTAGTAAGAGATTTTCCTTTAGCAATGGTGATCGAAGCGAACAAAATCAGCTGAAAGGAGTCTGATACGTTGCAAAAGACACTTCAAAAAAAGAAGGGAAAGCACTTGAGGAGCATCCATATGTTGAGAGAAATAGTGCAAATCCCTCTTTTTGGTTGCAAGAATCCTTTTGGACAGACAAAAGGATAAGCAAAGCCGTATTTGCAGTTMATCTGTAATTACGGAGTCACAGACATTTCCTTTCCATTGTTTGCTTCGTAGAAATGAGCAATGTAAAGTCACTGTAATAAGTGCAGTTTTACTGTGTTTAGATTTTGATTGCTTATAAATCTATAGCTACTATATTTTTTTAATGATTTTAAGAAGTGTGTGCAGGATGCTCGCACGTACGCACCAAAGGCCCGATCTTGCCACACTTATCTGAAAAGAGCCCCCATTCAAGTTGGGTGGGTATTTTATTTGTGTAGGGACTGCAGAAACAGGCCCAGAAATTTCTGTGAAGGTGTACATAGGTGTACAGTTAGATATAAGGAGTGATTTGCAAGCCAGAGAGGTAATTATTGAAATATATATATAAAATAGTCCTCGAGATGAAACACGTGTCGCAACATGTTCACTTTCTGATTCATTTTTCATGTGTTGCTCAAAAGATGATTGCAAAACTATGGCATTTGTCAGAAATGCCATATGCAGAAGGGCTTTTGCAGAAAGAAGGACCCTCCTTGTTTTCTGCCATCATTCTTTTGTGTGCTGAGCATAAGAAAATGCTCTTTTGGCGTCTGTCAGTTGTCTGAGTTTGGGGCTGTTTTTTTTCCCTTCCTCCATGTGGTCAAAGCTCCAAATGTCCAATATTAACCTTTGAACAACGGGATATTTGAGTGATAAGAAGTGACTGTCAGKAGTGTTTGCTGCAAGGAAAGGGTGTGTATAGCACTTTGTGCTTTCCCAAACAAAAAGGCTTCAGGCCCCAGAGAAATCCACCCCCACCAAAAATCTGATCTGTCCATGAAGAAAAGCTGTCAGCTGTCTGGTACCACATCCTGAGCTCGAGCTGTAATCCCAGCTCTGCTGCCAAGGATATGAAGCCTGAGACGGGGAGAGAGAAAATGCTGTGGTTTAATCCCCAATTCCTCATTTTATTGAGGAGAATCTCTTAAGAAGTTCCTGAGATCTGCATACACTGTCAATGCAAGTTCATAAAAAACATAACCAGGACTGCTTTGACTTCATTGTCAGAAGACCGGGCTTATGAATCTGCCAGTTCTGTCATCAAAGGGAAGGAAGCATTTAGCTGGAATAGTTCATCTGATTGCTTTTGATTTTTGAAATCCAACTTTGCTGTTGGACAGAATGGCTTCAATGGCGATRGGGCCATTATAATATTTTAGCATATTTCCCGTGATTGCAACAGAGCTGTCAAAGCCAGCTCATGAATTGCAAAAAGGAGAGCCGTGCTGTGGCAGCTCCTCCTGCTGCTGTCTCAGGGAGGGGAGGCACCGTGCTCAGTGGGTCTGTGGCCTCCTGGAGAAACCATGAGAAAAGAATACAGGAAATTGCAGGCACAAGGCAGGTCCAGAGCCTTTAGGACTGTGAAATAACACGGCAGAGACAACAGATGAAGTCTCACTGCTTGCAGCAATCAGGGGTGGCTCCTCCAGTCCTTGAAAAAGCTGCCCCAATGCAGGCAGGGCTGATATGGTGAGTGAAAGGTGATGCTCACTGAGGATGGCCAGATGCAGCAGAAAGAGGGGAAGCATCTCCAGGGGCAGTCCCCTCGCTGGGTGTGGGTGAACAGGTGAAGTGCTGCTGTTCTCTGAGGATGGCCAGATGCAGCAGGAAGAGGGGAAGCATCTCCAGGAGCAGTCCCTTCGCTGGGTGTGGGTGAACAGGTGAAATGCTGCTGTTCTCTGAGGATGGCCAGATGCAGCAGATGGAAGGGAAGCAGCTCCAGGAGCAGTCCCCTTGCTGGGTGTGGGTGAACAGGTGAAGTGCTGCTCACAGCTCACTGGCAGTGATGCAGCTGCAGGGATGGGCAGATCGTGCTCAGCTCTCCCTGGCAGCCAGGAGAGATCTCTGCCCCGAACAGAGGGGAGCTGAGCCGGGGACAGCATTGAGATGGGGAGCAAGAGGGAACCTGTCCTTTCCGATCTTCTGAGGTCGGGTCACTTGTCCACTTGTCCACTTGTCCACTTGTCCACTTGTCCACTTGGGCAGTGATTGTGGAGGGCTCTGGAATGTGCCTTTCCCCTGACCTTGCTTGCATTTGTGTGTCCAGAGAGCTTTGGAGCTTTTATGAGTACAGGAAGAAGAAAACAGCAAAATTCGGCAATCCCTAAAGGGCCAGGTTCCCTGGAAAATTCTAGARTGAGCTGAGGTTTTAGGAATAAAGAAGTCAGTAGTATTTATGCTTARTCCCTTTCCAAAATCCAGTGAGGTATGTGGAAATTTTGCAGTGSTCCAGAAAGGAGCCCTAATCACAGGCAAGAAGAGCAGCCTCTTGTTTCCCACTCACTTGATTTCAGATACGCCTTTTAACATGCTTTACATACACTGCAGTAGCAATACCATGTTNAAAAAAAAAAAAAAAAAAAAACAGGCTTCTCTGGAAGCAGAAGTGTTGTGACTGTCACTCTCCCTTCCAGATTTCATCAACTCATCTTTTCAAACTCATCTATGCAAAGCATTTCATCGTGGTAGTGCAAATCATACATGAGCCCTCTGTACCTGACTGTTTGGGTGTGAACCACAGACCTCAGGAAAAGAGGGGATTTTTCTGCTTGCTTTGAAATACCAGCATGGAATTTGGCAGTGAAATGAATGTGTTCAAGACAGGATGCAGCCCACTACCTTTGAAGCCACCACAAGATTCACATTAGGGTTCAGTAGAAAGAGAATTCAGGTCTTACATCAGTGCTTGTAAGCCAAGCCAAAAACCTGGATCTCCCAAAAAAACCCTCCCAGACTATTATCATTGTGTCTTGTTATCATCCTGTCTAAGTGGGCAAGGCTGCTGGGCATCCCTGTGTTGTCTGCATGGTATTCAAAATTTAAAAAAGAAAAAAAAAAATCGATTTGAAATTGTACTTAAGTGCTTTTTAAAATAAACTTAAGGAAAATCCAAATGTACGAGAGGCGTTAGGTTGTACAATCCAGATGTGCAAGAGGGAGGCTGGGTCCCGGGCTGTCAGCACCTCCAGTGCTCCCCAAAGCCCTGAGCATTCAAGAAACATCAGAAGGGAGGGACTGGGCCACAGTGGGAAGCTTAAAGGGAGACAAATMTGTCTCAGCGCTTCAAGGATTGAAAGATGTAAATATGTTACCAACGTGTCTGAATTCCTATTTAGAAGCCATAAATGTTCTCAGTGTTTGRTCTGTGGGTAAGCTGATGTACATTTGTGACTGTGATCAGTGTAAACTGTGTTAGCATGTAAAACAGTGACAAATTCAGCCAGAAGAAATCAGATGCTGTGTTGTCTGGTTCTCGAGATGTTTGTTGTACCTAAAACTGTCTGATGGACTAAGACACTGAAGTATCTCCAGTGCTCCACATGGCTTRTGAAGACTCTGGTTATTGCCTTTTSAGCAGTGTGGAACGGGCAGAATCAATCCCTGTTTGTTAACCTTGTGCTGGCCAGGTGGTAAACACCCAGGTGTGCATCAGAGCCTGTCCTCTGAGAGTGARGAAAGGGGGAAAAGTCCCTTCTCTGTCTGGGACAGCACAAAAATCTGGTGATTTTTGCTTCATTCCTGGGTCCTCCTCGTTTTCAGCCTGGAGGTCCCTGATGAAACCTCTGCATTCAGCCCACGTGAATTGCATGGAACAACTGCTGCCCATTGAACATGTCCCTGGTTTTCACCAAATGCTTAGCTTGGGAATACTGGAGCAAAACTCTGTGTCTTCGTTGTACAGGATCTTGGGCTGTGACAAAAATAAAGCTGTTTCATGTTTGTTGTTTCTGTAAGGCGGTGACAGTGGGGGTGGAGAAATCCATGCAGGGTCATGTTGGTTTTATGATGATGTTAATCTCTTGTGTCCTTTGACTGACCTTTCTTTTGTCGACCTTACACCCTGTAATTTTGGCTTATTATTGTTTCTGTAGCTGTACTATGGTTGTGATAGAAAGCCTATCAATTGCTGTAAGCCATAACTAGAACAGTAATCAGGGTTTTTTTTGGTTGTTTTTCTTTTTTTGGTCTGTGTCACTGTGTTTGTAAGATGATTTAATTCCATTGAATAAACAAAACACTTTACCAGTTTTCTGGGAAAGGCAATCTTTGGGCCACTTATTGTGCCTACAGACTGATTTTGTATTTTCTGCTGTTCTGCATCTCTGAACAGGGGGAGTTGGAAGCTGAGCTGCTGGAAATTGGTTCACAAAACTAGAGAATGCTACTGTAGAATTACATGATGATATAGCATAATTTATAGAAATATAGAGGTATATTTAGGGTTATGCAACCATACAAATTGAAAATTTTGATCACTGAATATTCAGTGTATGTTCTGGATTGTTGTCTACAAAATATCTAGGGACAGTAAGGTAATTTATTACTGGAAGTAGCAATCTGTGCACAGACAGCCTTTGAAAAGCCTCTGCAATCCCTGGGATTTGCCTGCTTACATCTTCTAACAGCTCTGCCCTTTACTGTCCTCATCCTTYGTATAAAATCATCTTCTTTGGATCTGGTCTGTCTTACTCAGCCTCAGTCTTACAAGCTTACACTTCCATCAATATTCTCAGAGAATTCAAGCATAGATGTAAAAAYATTTGTGGTAATACATGATAGCAGATGAAACAACCATCTATTTTTTGAAACWGGGTGTTTTCCCAATTGCCATTCTATTGTTCCTACATTATAGACTGAAATAGCAGTAGGTAACAGAAATAATATAATCTGGATATTAGTGCTGGTATAAGGAAAATGTAAATGACTTTGAAGATGCAGAGCTGTGGTGAATGCTGGAGGAATCAGCCCTCATTCTTGCTGACATTAAAACTGATGGATGTACTTCCTTCCCCCAGATGCTTGTGATTATTGTTAGTGATTATTCAATCAAGGAGAGGAAGCATGTGGAGAGGGAAAAATGAATAGACAAATTGACACTGGATGATATAATTTCTGTCTATCACACTGCAAATTGCTCGGCTAAGCAAGCAATCAAAGAATGGTTAATTTCCTAAAGCCTGCAGCATCCGTCATTTTCCTCAGTGGCATTTGCAGCCTTGGCTCCGAGAAAGTCTCGATTAAAAGCCGTGGTGAATTACAGAGATGTTTCACCACAGTCTGACAGTGCCCAGAAGTGGGCACTTAGGGAAACAGCAGAAGAAACAGGGGAAATAATAAATGGCCCTTCTGCTGGTATTCCCTCAGACCGGTATTGACAGCTTGTATTTTTGGCCTCAGCAACGCTGTGTGGAGCTGAGCATCGGATTTTAGCTCTGTGTTCGTGATGAAGTGGTTCCTTCTGCTTTTATGAGCTCCCAAGGGTGCCCAGCAAGATGTTTTTGGGTTGTGGGTGCTGCCAGATGGAGCCAGGGCAYGTCCTGACCTCCCTTCTCCCAGCACAGACATCGCAGGGGGCACCTCTTGGAATGAAACTTCTATGAATCTTTATTTATCTTCTGCTTTCCTCTTTGTTTTTTATTTTTTCCCTAGCACTGCTAACCCAGCTCTGTTCCTGGGTGGTGAAGTGCTAGCAGTCAGGTAATTTTATCACTTAGTTGTTTTCTCACTCTACATCTTCAGTCACCTTTTAGTCATCCCAATGGATCTGGCTAAAGGAATAAACATTGAAATCCATAGAAACTGCTGTCCATCASAGAGASGTAAAATAATACATCAAGAGWGTGTAACTGCTGCCACAGGCMCCTTTTTAGGTAAAAAAGATGCTGGTTTCAATGATACCAATTTTAAAGCTTCCTTTACTATTGTGGGGAGGATTTCACATCCCWCTCACTTTTGTCTAACCCTGAAAACTTTTGCTTCAGCAAGTTCAGGTTTTAGCCCAGAGCTGAGAGCGTATTTTGTTGAAGGTAGATGTAGACCTCAGAGACAATAATAGAATCTCTGGACTTTATGGATGTCATTGCTGTTGGGGTACAGGTCCTGCAGGAAAAGGACAAGGAGTTTCTGGAATTCTGCTGAATTCTTGAGATTCAATTCTGCCTTTTGAGACCCCTGGATATGCTGATACATTAAAGACCTTCCAGATGCAGGCATGAGAGAACATGACTAAATTCATCAACAAAAGTCAGCTTTCTCTGGGTTTTATTGCATCTTTAGAAATAGTAAGGGTTAAAATCCCCTGTTTTCCCTTCACAGAGGATCTCTCATTTATTTTTGTGAGTAGATTTTGTCAGCTGTACTAACAGCCAGGACCTCCACACTGTCACTTTCAGCAGTCTTTCTGCCTTGCCAGGCTGCGAGTCAGATTTTGGAGAGYGAAGTTCATCCTTCCCCCAGATGAGGTGAGTGAAATGCCATCGAGGTGTCTGAGCTGGCGTCTGGAGCTTCCCGGGAGCGATTTTATTTGCTCGGTGGCACTTGGCAGAGCCGTGGGCTGCACTCAGGTCAGGCAGGCGAGCACCTCTCAGGCACTGGAAGTTAATCTCAGTTACATCCCTGTTTTTAAGCACGTTATTTCCCTTGAGAAGTGCTGAGGCACTGGGGGAGCCTGATAATTTTGCAAATAATTTGCCATCTTTGCTGCTCAATGCAGATGATAAATTGAAATGCTTGAGTCCCTAATGCCCTGCTCTTTGGAGGTTTCYGTGGGCATGTGGTGCTGGATGATAAATGTGGAATACGTGTCCCTTCCACCTGAAAAGATTAATGAAATTTTTTACTTCCCATAGAGGTGTTTCATGAAGT